CTGGTGCGTGTGTCGCTATGTCGCGACAGGGCGCCGCCACGCGCCTCCGTGGCGCCGCCACGCGCCTTCGCCCTGTTTTTCCTCGGTCTCGCGATTTTTGGCGTGAATTTCAGCGCAAACATGAGGTGTCTGTGCTTCCCTCATTTACATAGTGCTAATTCGTCGATTTCATCTTGGCTCTTTCCACCCCACTTGCAAATCTGATGGGCAAGCTCTTCAACGGGAGCAAGGGGTTCCTGTGATTCCATTCTTGTATTTCCTGCATTTATCCCTTAATGTTAAACCCTGAACTCATTCTGTTTTCTTTTGCACCCCGTTCCCAGATCTGATGAGCAACCTCTTCGGCGCGAGCAGGCGGTTTCTTTGGACGTCTGACATGCGCCGCGAGCTGTCGTGCAAGTCGGACTGCGAGGCGAAGAACAAGAAGTGCAACACGGATTACAGCGAGTGCAAGCGCGAGAACAAGGACGACGAGCACAAGCACCACAAGTGCACGCACAAGTACAAGAAGTGCAAGAAAAAGGCCAAGAAGTGCCGCTCCAAGTGCGATTAGAGGACGGGCAGATGTGGGAACGGGAGTACTGTGCCCGAGTGGGCTACTGCGCATTATCTGGTATTGGTAGGAAGAAACACTGTGCCCGAGTGGGCCACTCCGCAATCTTCAAATAGAAAAGGATCAAACATGAAACGGTAGAATATCGGTGCATGGAATTGAACTAAAGTTGAATCAAGGATGGACACGTCATGGAGTTACCCAGGAGCTCTCATACAGATGACAGCCCTTCATTTTGGGCTGCAGGCTGCTGCTAGCGTCTACACTCACCCACACGAGGATTTGCATTCCCTACGAGGTTTTCTTATGTGTATAAACACCAGAAAAACATGCAGCAAAGCCTGATGGCTGAAGCTCCCTCATGCCTCTTCAGGGCTTGATGAGTGCAACCAGGGCTCAGAGAGCAGCCCATTCTATGTGCAGCTCTCCCAAAACATATCCGCCCAAACCTGAAACTCAACGCTTAACCAAACCTTAAAAGAGCTTCATATATTGTGCAACCTTTCCTCGCAGTATGCCCCACCCTTCACTTCACACTTCACCCCTGAACGCAGCTGCATTCCTACTGCAGCCTCTTTGCCCCTGCTGCATCTTCACAGCCTCCCTGTGCGGTGCCTGCTGCCCAGAGCCCACTCTCTGTTGCTCCCTTCACTTTTAATAAGGACCATGTTCGTAACCCACTCTTGGCTTCACCTGCCCTTTTCGAAGTGCCTGAAAAACAGCCTCGTGCCTTGCTGTGACCTGCTGCACACACTCTGCTGCACCCCTCACTTCCACACGAGGTCATGCCAGTCGCCCACACTCGGCTTCGTCTGCCTCGTCTCCCCCTGCCCGCTTTCCACCTTGATTTGAAAACCCATCTGCCCCAATATTACATCCAACACTGTATCCCCATGCACATGCGCATGCACATGCCCATGCCCATGCCCGTGCCCATGCCCATGCCCATGCCCATGCGCATGGGCATGGCCATGGGTATGTGCATGCCCGTGCACATGCCCTGGCCCTGCTGCTGCAGCAGCTGCCGCTGCTGCTGCTGCCAGTGCTGCTCCTGCTGCTCCGCCTGCACCTGCTCTTTCTGCCGCTGCTGCAGCAGCCGCAGCGGCAACAGCAGCGACAGCAGCGGCAGGACCGTCACCAGCGCCACCTGCTGCAAAAGCAGCTACTGGGTTTGCAGCAGCAAAAGCAGCTGCAGGATTTGCAGCAGCAAAAGCAGCCGCAGGATTTGCAGCAGCAAAAGCAGCCGCAGGATTTGCAGCAGCAAAAGCAGCCGCAGGATTTGCAGCAGCAAAAGCAGCCGCAGGATTTGCAGCAGCAAAAGCAGCCGCAGGATTTGGAGCAGCGCCAGCAGCACCAGCAGCACCAGCAAATCCACCAGGAGCCACAGCTGCTCCTGCCACTACACCGCCCCCCCCTGCCTGGAACACATTAATCTGCCCATCCCTTATCCCTGCAACACCAACCGCCTGCCTCTGCCACTGCTCCACCACAACCCCTCCTGCCGCTCCTTCTGGAGCAACAGCACCAGCACCAGCAGCAGCACCAGCAGCACCAGCACCACCAGCAGCAGCACCAGCAGCAGCAGCACCACCAGCAGCAGCACCAGCAGCAGCAGCACCAGCACCAGCACCAGCAGCAGCACCAGCAGCAGCAGCGGCGGCAGCACCAGCAGCAGCGACGGCAGTGCCAGCAGCACCAGCAGCGGCGGCACCCGCAAAATCAGGCCCAACACGCAGCCCACCCGCACCTAACGCAGAGGCTTGGCCGTGCGTCATGGCTTGGTACGCCAGAACCATGCGTCTTGTCTCCTCCACCACCTCTGCATGGCTTTGTGGGCCCCACTGCTCTTGCGTGGGGCCCACAGGCAGGAATCTATCCACAACAGCACCGGCAAGACCGGCAGCAGCAACAGCAGCACCACCAGCAGCGGCAACAGCACCACCCGCAGCAGCAGCGGCAGCAGCATTAGCTGCAGCTGGTTGGGCTTGTTCAAATCTAATTTCTCTCTCTGCCACTCCCTGCCCCATGTCCATAGGCCCTGCACCTACCTCCACTGCCTCCCCTGCTGCCCCCACTGCCCCTGCTACCCCTGCTGTCCCTGTTTCTTGTTGCAAGCCAGCATCTGCAGGCACTGCCCCTGCTGCTGCTTCTGCTGCTGCTGCTGCTGCTGCTGCTACTGCTGTTTCTTCTGCTGCTGCTGCTTCTGCTGCTGCGCCGTCTGCCCCTGCTGCTGCCCCTGTTGCTGACCCTGCTGCTGTCCCTGCTGCCTCCACAGCCGCTGGGCCTAGAACTCGTAACACTAAGGCACCTGCTTCTTGTGCTTCTGCTGCTGCTACTTCTGCTGCTGCTCCTGCTGCTGTTGCTGCTGCTGCTGCTGCTTCTGCTGTGCACAGCCGCTGCTCCCACAAGTGCTGCCGGTGCTGCTCCCACAAGTGCTGCCGGTGCTGCTCCCACAAGTGCTGCCGGTGCTGCTCCCACAAGTGCTGCCGGTGCTGCTCCCACAACTGCTGCCGGTGCTGCTCCCACAACTGCTGCCGGTGCTGCTCCCACAACTGCTGCCGGTGCTGCTCCCACTGCTGCTACTTGTGCAGCCGCAACAGAACCTGGTGCTGCCAGTGCTGCTGTTGCGGGAGCAGCAGCACCTGGTGCTGCCGCTGCCTCTGCAACAGCACCTGGTGCTGCCGGTGCTGCCGCTGCCCCCACTCCTGCCCGTGCTGCTTCCCCTGCTGCCGCCCCTGCTTGGGCGGCAACATCAGGGTGGGCGGCGGCGCCATCCGGTTGGGCGGCGGCGCTATCCAGTTGGGGGGCAGCGCTATCCGGTTGGGGGGCAGGTTCGACATAGCGAGCGCGGGAGGTGACGGTGACGATGCAGTCGACTGCCAGGTTGGTGTGCGCGAGGGTGCCTGGGAGGGCGAAGTGGCGTTGAAATGTGGCATATACCGTCCTGAGAGGGACATGAGACAGAGTCAAAGGGAGATAGAGGGTCAGTGGAGAAGGGAGGTGAGGTGACGGTGACGATGCAGTCGACTGCCAGGTTGGTGTGCGCGAGGTCGCCCGGCAGGGTGAAGTGGCGCTGGAAGGTGGCATACACAGTGCTGCAGGGAAGAACATGAGACATGAGAGGGAGACGGAGAGTCAAAGGAGTCAGTGGGCAGGGAGGTTTTGGTGACGATGCAGTTCACTGCCACGCTGGTGCGTGCGCGAGGTCGCCCAGCAGGGTGAAGTGGCGCTGGAAGGTGGCACACACAGTGCTGTAAAAAGAAGGGGATGAGAGAGCGTGGTTCGCATTGAGCATGCCTGGAAGCGAAGTGGCGCTGGAAGGTGGCAGACACCGTGCTGTGGAGAGAGGAATGACAGAAGGCATTCGGATGGGAGAATCAAGGGGGGGATGAGTTCAAAAGAGCACGTGGTTCGCATTGAGCATGCCAGGCAGGGGAAGTGGCGCTGGAAGGTGGCATACACACAGTGTTGCTTGGCGGGGAAGGGGGGAATTTTATTTTTTGAGAATTCTCAAAAGGTGGCTCACACAGTGCTGCTTGGGGGGGTGGGAGAGGCGAGGGGGGGTGGGGGGAGGCAGGGGTTGACACAGCGAGGGAGGGAGGTTTAGGTGACGGTGACGATGCAGTCGACTGCCACGTTGGTGTGCATGAGGGTGCCTGGCAGGGCAAAGTGGCGTTTGAAAGATGGGGTATATCGTCCTGAGTTGACTTTCAACATGGGACTTGGGGAGAAGAGATGAGAAGCGGAGATGACAAACAGAGCACATCCAGAGTGCAAGGCATGGATTCAATCGAAGCAAGGGAGGGACGGAAGGCACAGCACGGAAGACACGGAAGGAAACGAGGCAGTGCCATACCCGCCAATGGTGCTGTGCTGTGAGGTGGCGGCGCTGAGCAGCACAGCAACGCGGCCGTTGCGACCCTTAAGCACCACACACACGACACCTGCAGCTGCAGCTGCTTATTGAGTGAACTAAACTCAAGGCGCCTGGAGGGGAGCGAGGCAGAACCTTACCCGCCAATGATGCTGTTCTGTGAGGTGGCAGCGCTGAGAAGCACAGCAATTTGGCCCTTAAATGCCACACACGAAACCTGCAGCTGACTTGTGAGTCAGTCAACTGGGAGCGAGGCAGAACCCTACCCGCCAATGATGCTGTTCTGTGAGGTGGCAGCGCTGAGCAGCACAGCAAAGCACAGCGAGGCACAGTGAAGGCAGGCATGCCTCAAAACAGGAGCGGGGCAGGAAGGAAGCAAGCAGTACCCTACCCGCCAATGATGCTGTTCTGTGAGGTGGCAACGCGGAGCAGCACAGCAAAGCGGTCCCCACCACCCGCCAATGGGCCCTTGAGCGCCAGACACGACACCTGCAGCTCCCTGGCTGCACGCTCCAACGCCCTCCTGCTCAGCCCAGGCTTGCCCTCCACCAGCACTGACCCCACCTGCACACGGTTTGTTTTAAGGAGGGAGAGGGTAGAGGGAAGGGAAACAACCTCTGAGCGCCCCACATGACACCTGCAGCTCCTTTGCTGCGTGCTCCAGCGCCCTCCTGCTCAGCCCAGGCTTGCCCTCCACCAGCACTGACCCCACCTGCATGGTGTGTGTGGAAGCGGGTAAGAGAGCAGGAAAGTGGCGTTTAAGTGCAGCCCACTCACTCCACTCACAAGCCTGCTCAGCCCAGGCTTGCCCTCCACCAGCACTGACCCCACCTGCAGTTGAGAGTCGAGTCGGGAAAGAGGGCAAGAAATGAAACTCCCAACCACAAGGCTGCTCAGACCGCTGATGCAATGCAACACAAGGGGATCACTCGAATGGCTGCTCAGGCTTGTCCTTATGTTATCCTCAAGTACCCGCGTCTGAAGAAAACGAAGGTTTACTCACATCCGCGCCTGGAAGCCTCTAGTCGAACGACTTGTTAGAATATCTCCTCTCTTGTAACCTGCATATATGCTATAGGATAGGCTAGAGATAAGCACCCAAACTTAGTTTGGGTGTACAAGCAGG